TATCATATGTACCAGGCATTATTTCAATGTCTTACTATATATTAATTCATTTATTCTTTACAAAAACTTGAAGGTGGATTATAATTATTCACACCATTTACAGATAAGAAAATTGAGGTTCAAAAGCTAAAATAACTTTCTAAAAAATGTTGTCAGGATCCTTTTGAAATACCAGGTATTAAGCTGATAATGTTTCCTATGTATGATTTTAAGTCATTGAATTAGAGATTGCCCAGATATTAATTTAAGATTTGTTTCAAGAGCTGAATTAATAGTTCAGCCAATCAAAAGTGAGTTTAAATTTCTAATGCCTGGGTTACCAAAGTAAATGAATGCAAGGAATTTTCCCTTGATTTACAATCAATTAACCTTGGTGATGAGGAACTAGAAAGCAGCATGTCCCTTCTTCTGGAAGTAGGAAAAGAAAAAGAAGACTACATAAAAATAGTCTTGTACAGACTCCAGAGATGCAGTGTTTTGTTCCAATGACAGAATTGTTTCTGGATGATGCCTTAAACCTAACCTCACTTCCCCCAGCTCCAGCTGATATCAAGCACAGCTTTAGTTCAGAAGGAGCCAATACTAACCATATGTTCTAAAAGTCCTATTATTATCATGGGCAATTCAGGATATCCACATTTGGAGGATGGGAGTAAGTTAGAGTGGGAAAGCAAATAAGGCTTTTCTATACTTAAAATTTATATCTTCCTATCTTCTTATGATTCTAGTTCTCAGTCTTGTACTTTAAGCTAAGAGATGATGTTCCAAGGAAGCCAACAAAGGTCCAATCCAGAGTCCTAAAACCTAAGACTACATGTTTTTCAGAATTCATAATTTTTCAGATATTAGAAACATAATTTATGGTTTTATCATAATTATGTTAATATCCCCCCAGGGTCTAGGGAGGCCCATAATCAAACACTTTAATATCTTTGCAGCAAAGTGTATGAATATTCTAGCAAAGTGGAATGATAAAAACTATAAATAATACCACATCAGAATGAAATAGTTTTGACATAAAATGAACTTGCTACACACTTAAGAAAAAACTTTTGGTTTTTGTATTTGAATTCTGGACCTTTTCCATTATTCCTTGAGGCTAAAACCAAAGTGATCTAGTAGAAAGCTACAACCTCCAGGAGACCACTATTGGAATATCAAGCTTCCTAAATAAGGCCAGCTACTAGAAAAAGTGCCCTCTGGCCTTTGTTCTTTCCTTTCTTCTGCTAACTTGGACTTAGTTTGTTCTTACTTTCTAGTTCCTTGAGTTATAAAGGTAACCTATTGGGTTTTTTTGAGATTTTTCTTTTTTTCTGAATGTAGGTTTTTATGGCTACAAACTTCCCTCTTAGTACAGCTTCTGCATCATCCCAAAAGTTTGGAATTTTGTGTTTCCATTTTCATTTGTTTCAAGGTATTTTTTTATTTCCTTTTTTTTCCTAAGATTTTATTTTATTTATTTGAGAGAAAGAGAGAGTGAAAGAGAGAGCACAAGAGGGGGTAGGGTCAGAGGGAGAAGCAGACTCCCCACCAAGCAGGGAGCCCGATGCGGGACTTAATCCCCAGACTCCAGGATCATGACCTGAGCTGAAGGCAGTCGCTTAACCAACCAAGCCACCCGGGCACCCCTGATTTCCTTTTTGATCTCTTCTTTGACCCACCTGTTCAGGAATATGTTGTTTAATTTCCACATATTTGTAGATTTGTCAACTTTCCTCCTGCTATTGATTCTAGTTTCATACCACTGTGGTCAGAAAAGACCAGGTACTGTTTTTTTATGCTTGCAAAACATCAGTTAACAAAACAATAATGCCTTCTTTAGTGAGATGAGATGAACATTTTAAGTCTACAAAAGTCCTAACAGAATTGGGGGATCTCATAGAAGTGTTCTGCCTAGAGAATCGGTTATTCTTTCCCATGGCTCTCACCTGAGTGTTGTTTCTGTAAAACTTCAAAAGTTCTCTTTTCTATAAACTGCAAGTGACCTTGGAGTCAGAAATTGCTTTGCCTGTGTAAATAGACAATTATTTTACTCAACACTACAGGGTCTATAAGTCAACTGATTCAATCAAGTAGCAGTAGGGTATCAATCTAAAGAGAGAATCTTGCCCCTGCAGGCATTTCTTCATTTGAATGCACAGCTGCAACTACTATTACAATAGCAAAAATCTTAATTACACTCAATCAACAACAAAGATATTTCTATTTATGATCTGTCCAAGGTCATTTATTTTTGCTGTTATCCAACCTGTGTTAAGTATCCAAAAAATGAAAAGATTTCTAAGTCTTCGGATATACACATATCCCAAATAAAAGATATATTTCCTTGATCCAATAATCTACATAATTGGATTTTAAATAGAAATGTTAACAGCAGCATAAAGGTCATAGAAGCAAAAGATTGTCTCTAAAGAGAGAATTGAAACCATATAATTATTTCATTTTTCTTCTACATTTTAAGCCATATTTGGAAAAAAGTATACAATAAGGATAGCTTTGAAAAAGCAGATCTCGGGCGCCTGGGTGGCTCAGTTGGTTAAGCGACTGCCTTTGGCTCAGGTCATGATCCTGGAGTCCTGGGATCGAGTCCCACATCGGGCTCCCTGCTCAGCAGGGAGTCTGCTTCTCCCTCTGACCCTCTTCCCTCTCGTGCTCTCTATCTCTCATTCTCTCTCTCTCTCAAATAAATAAATAAAATCTTTAAAAAAAAAAAGAAAAGAAAAAGCAGATCTCACAAATTTAATGAGATCATATTTTGTGACAAAGTAATCAGTCTGAAAAATTGAAGGAAGTATGTGAAGTACATGCCTAGATATTGACAATATTGTGTTTTCTGTATTTGCCGAATATTTGCTATATGCCAGGCATTGTGCTAGGAACTGAAAATAAAAAATCAAGAAGACAGTGTCCCTATCCCATTAAATATTCTCAATATTGAGAAAGATATATATAAAGTTTTATTTAAGTATTCATGTTTCCCCCAAATTAAAATTTTAATGGCAAGAGTACATAGAAATTGATATTTTCATGTATTGCTGAGGAGAATATAAATTGATTGAGGTGTCTTTTTAGAGTGTATTTTTGTGACACTTATCAGAGGACTTCAATATATGCTTCCTCAAGCAAATCCATTTCTGGGAACTCATCCTAAAAAAAAAATAACTGTGAAGCTGCACAAGGATATTTATCTAAAAGAAATTTCATTACACAATTTTTTATAATGTTACAAGATTGGCAACTATTTAAAAGGCAACAATAGAGAATCTAGCCAAATTATTTAACACCTATGAAATAGTGCATGACCATTTAAAATGTTATCAATGTTAAGAGGAAATGTTGGCTATGTTGTCAAGTGGTTTTTTTCTTAAATAGGCTACAAAGCAACATGTTCAATATAATGCTATTTTTGCAAAAACAATTTTATATGCAAAGGGATGAACTGGCAAGAATCACCTCTCATCTTCTCCATCAGTGGGAAGCCAATAATCAAAATAATTTAATCATAGTTGGCACCATTCCTTCTAGTGCAAAAAAGAACAACCATTGACAACCAACATGGTTTTTGTTGTGATTCAGCCAAGTTTTAGGTCTGGTGAGAAAGAGCAAAATGCTTCTCAGCATAATAATGGGGCCGTCTGTTGTTCACAAAGGACAAAATACAAAAAAAAAAGAAAAAAGAAGAAAAGGCAAGGAAAAATATCCTTTCCTTATTACCAGACCAGCCTGTGCTTTCTCAGAGGAAAAATAATCCTTGTCTTTGTGAGAAGGACATACTCTACAGGTCATTTAGTTAAGAGAAGCTGCTTTCAAATGTGAAGAGGCTGAACTGGTACTAAGAGACTGGCATTTACCTTTCTTCACAGAAGAAAGGTCCACTGTCCTCTGTCATTTGTTATGTCTAGTACAGGAGTCAGCAAACTATGACCTAGGAGCCAACTCCATTCTGCAGCCTATTTTTGTGTGGCACACAAGCTAAAAATTGTTTTTACATTTTTAATGTTGAAATATATATATGTGTATATATATATATATATAAAAGATTTTATTTATTTATTTGAGAGAGAGCATGAGCAAGGGAAGAGGGAGAAGCAGACTCCCCACTGAGCATGGAGCCCCTTGTAGGGCTCCATGTACAGGGCTCAATGCCGGGCTCAATCCCAGGACCCTAAGATCATGACTTGTGCTGAAGGCAGAACAAACTGAGCCACCCAGGTACCCCTCAAAAATATATTTTTTAAAACAATATCATGTGACGTGAAAATTACATGAAACTCAGATGTCAGTGCCCATAAATAAAGTTTTATTGGAACACAACCATACTCATTTATATATATATTGTCTATAGCTATTTTCTGCTACATCAACAGAGTTGTATTGCATCAGAGAGAGTATGGCTCATAAAGTCTAAAAAACTTACTATTTAGATCTTTCAAAAAAAGGTTTACTGAACCTTGGTCTAGTAGAGACATCCTCAGTGTGCTTCTCAGCAAAGCTCAAGTGGCATTCAAGTTTGCAATACCTCCTGTGAGGAGATGTGCAGCTTTCCAAGGGAAAAACTTGCATTACAGGTTAGAATGATTTAAAGTATCCCTTCCTTCCTTTCTTTGAAGGGTTGCAAAGAAAACTCTGAATGTTGGTCACCATAAAACTTACCTCACATAAGTTTGCAAAGATCCTCTGCTTCAGGACCTAAAACGGGAAGGAATCCTGACACACCCAGGTTCGATATAAATGTAACACAAGTACTGATATCCATCCCCACCCCTACCTCTCATTTCAAGGTTCAGCTTCCTTTAAAAAAAATACCTTAAAAAGTGAAGTTTTCTTTAAGTCTCTCTCAAGCTGTCCACTCAGAAGCTCCTCTGGGGCAGCAGTTTCTCCTGGCTTAGCCATGGGCCACCTCTCAGCTGCTCCTCTTCATCTGGAACTCTTGGACACCGACTCTTATTTGGACACCATCCCCTCTCTACAAGTATTAGCGAGAGAGGACAGTGTGCAGCATTCTTCCCTTTTATTCTCTGGAAAACCACTGGCCAAGCCTACAAAGATACAAATTATTTTCTACTCCCAGCTTTTTTGCCTCCAAGTGTTCCTTCATCTAAATTTCCCCAAGCAGATGTCTTCTACCTTCCAGAGAACTCCATTCCTTGCAAAAAAAAATTTATTTTACTCCAGAATCCATTCCCTGTCCCCTTCCCCAAAACCGGGCAGAACTCTTCTCAAAAATCTTTTGAATGCAGTCATAATAATTCTGGGGCAGGGGGTAGTAGAGGGACCTCCAACAGGATGATTAATGATGCTCATGACATCTCAGGTCATGCAGACAATGGTGGGTGGCTTTGGAAATCCAAGTTTCAAATCAAATCATAAGCCCTCTGTTATGGACTGAATATTTATTTCCCCAGAAAATTCATGTCACAAAGCCTTAATCCCTTTTTTTAAATTTTATATTGTTATGTTAATCACCATAAATTACATCATTAGTTTTTGATGTAGTGTTCCATGATTCATTGTTTGTGCATAACACCCAATGCTCCCTGCAGAACATGCCCTCTTTAATAGCCATCACCAGGCTAACCCATTGTCCCCTTCCTCCCCTCTAGAACACTCAGTTTGTTTTTCAGATTCCATCGTCTCTCATGGTTCATCTCCCCCTCCAATTTCCCCCCTTTGATTTTTCCCCTCCTGCTATCTTTTTTTTTCTTAACATATATTGCATTATTTGTTTCAGAGGTACAGATCTGTGATTCAACAGTCTTTTACAATTCACAGCACCCACCATAGCACATACCCTCCCCAATGTCTATCACCCAGCCACCCCATCCCTCCCACAAACCCCCACTCCAACAACCCTCAGTTTGCTTCCTGAGATTAAGAATTCCTCATATTAGTATGATACCTGTCTTTCTCTGATTGATTTATTTCACTCAGCATAATACCCTCCAGTTCCATCCATGTCATTGCAAATGGTAGGATCTCATTCCTTTTCATGTCTGTATAATATTCCATTGTATATATATACCACCTCTTCTTTAACCATTCATCTGTTGATGGGCACTTTGGCTCTTTCCACAGTTTGGCTATTGTGGATATTACTGCTATAAACATCAGGGTGCACGTACCCCTTTGGAAACCTACATTTCTTTCTTTGGGGTAAATACCCAGTAGGGCAATTGCTGGGTCGGTGGGTAGCTCTAATTTCAACTTTTTGAAGAACCGCAATACTGTTTTCCAGAGTGGCTGCACAAGCTTGCATTCCCACCAACAGTGTAGGAAGGGTCCCCTTTCTCCACATCCCCGCCATCATCTGTCGTTTCATGACTTCTTAATAGACATTCTGACTGGTGTGAGGTGGTATCTCACTGAGGTTTTGATTTGGATTTCCATGATGCCGAGCGATTTTGAGTACTTAATCATGTGTCTCTTGGCCATTTGGATGTCTTCTTTGGAAAAATGTCTGTTCATGTCTTCTGCCCATTTCTTGATTCATTTCTTCTTTGGGTGTTGAGTTTAAGAAGTTCTTTATAGATTTTGGATACTAGCCCTTTATGTGATATGTCATTTGCAAATATTTTCTCCCATTCTGTCGGTTGTCTTTTGGTTTTGTTGACTGTTCCTTTTGCTGTGCAAAAGATTTTATCTGGGTGAAGTCCCAATAGATAATTTCTGCCCTTGCTTCCCTTGCCTTTTGTGATGTTTCTAGGAGGAAGTTGCTGTGACTGAGGTCAAAGAGGTTGCTGCCTGTGTTCTCCTCTAGGATTTGGATGGACTCCTGTCTCACATTTAGGTCTTTCAACCATTTGGAGTCTATTTTTGTGTGTGATGTAAGGAAATGGTCCAGTTTCATTCTTCGGCATGTAACTGCCCAGTTGTCCCAACACCATTTGTTGAAGAGACTGTCATTTTTCAATTGGGCATACTTTCCTGCTTTGTCAAAGATTAATTGACCATAGACTTGAGGGTCGATTTCTGGGCTCTCTATTCTGTTCCATTGATCTATGTGTCTGTTTTTGTGCCAGTACCATACTGTCTTGATGATGACAGCTTTGTAATAGAGCTGGAAGCCTGGAATTGTGATGCCGCCAGCTTTGCTTTTCTTTTTCAACATGTCTCTGGCTATTTGGTGTCTTTTCTGATTCCATACAAATTTTAGGATTCTTTCTTCCATTTCTTTGAAAAAAATGGATGGTATTTTGATGGGGATTGCACTGAATGTGTAGATTGCTCTAGGTAGCATTGACATCTTCACAATCTTTGCTCTTCCAATCCATGAGCATGGAACGTTTTTCCGTTTCTTTGTGTCTTCCTCAATTTCTTTCATGAGTATTTTATAGTATTCTGAGTACAGATCCTTTGCCTCTTTGGTTAGATTTAGTCCTAGGTATCTTATGGTTTTGGGTGCAATTGTATATGGGATCAACTCCTTAATTTCTCTTTCTTCTGTCTTGTTGTTGGTGTATAGGAATGCCACTGATTTCTGTGCATTGATTTTATATCCTGCCAGTTTACTGAATTCTGGCATGAGTTCTAGCAGTTTTGGGGTGGAGACTTTTGGGTTTTCCACATAAAGTATCATATCATCTGCAAACAGTGAGAGTTTTTCTTCTTTGCTGATTTGGATGCCTTTAATTTATTTTGTTGTCTGATTGCTGTAGCTAGGATTTCTAATACTATGTTGAATAGCAGTGGTGATAGTGGACATCCCTGCCACATTCCTGACCTTAGAGGGAAAGCTCTCAGTTTTTCCCCATTGAGAATGATATTCTCTGTAGGTTTTTCATAGATGGCTTTTAAGACAAGGAGGTAGGTACCCTCTATCTCTACACTCTAAAGAGTTTTGATCAAGAAAAGATGCTGTACTTTGTCAAATGCTTTTTCTGCATCTATTGAGAGGATTATATGATTCTTGTTCTTTCTTTTGTTAATGTATTATATCACGTTGATTGATTTGTGGATGTTGAACCAACCTTGCAGCCCAGGGATAAATCCCACTCAGTCGTGGTGAATAATCCTTTTAATGTCCTGTTGGATCCTAATGGCTGAGAATTTTTGCATCCATGTTCATCAAGGATATTGGTCTGTAATTCTCCTTTTTGATGGGATCTTTGTCTGGTTTGGGGATCAAGGTAATGGTGGCCTCATAAAACGAGTTTGGAAGTTTTCCTTCCATTTCTTTTTTTTGGAACAGTTTCAGGAGAATAGGTATTAATGCTTCTTTAAATGTTTGGTAGAATTCCCCTGGGAAGCCATCTGGCCCTGGGCTTTTGTTTGTTGGGAGATTTTGGATGATTGCTTCAATTACCTTAGTGGTTATAGGTCTGTTCAGGTTTTCTATTTCTTCCTGGTTCAGTTTTGGTCATTGATACATCTCTAGGAATGCACCCATTTCTTCCAGGTTATCTAATTTGCTGGCATAGAGTTGCTCATAATATGTTCTTATAATTGTTTGTATTTCTTTGGTGTTGGTTGTGATCTCTCCTCTTTCATTCATGATTTTGTGGATTTGGGTCATTTCTCTTTTCTTTTTGATAAGTCTGGCCAGGGCTTTATCAATCTTGTTAATTCTTTCAAAGAACCAACTCCTAGTTTCGTTGATCTGTTCTACTGTTCTTTTGGTTTCTATTTCATTGATTTCTGCTCTGATCTTTATTATGTGTCTTCTTCTGCTTGGTTTAGGCTTTATTTGCTTTTTTTTCCTCTAGCTTCTTTAGGTGTAGGGTTAGGTTGTTTATTTGAGACCTTTCTTGTTTCTTGAGAAAGGCTTGTATTGCTATATACTTTCCTCTCAGGACTGACGTTGCTGTATCCCAAAGATTTTGAACAGTTGTGTTTTCATTTTCATTGGTTTCCATGAATTTTTTTAATTCTTCTTTATTTCCTGGTTGACCCATTCATTCTTTAGTAGGATGCCCTTTTAGCCTCCAAGTATTTGAGTATCATTCTGACGTTTCTCCTGTGATTGAGTTCTAGTTTCAAAGCATTGTGGTCTGAAAATATGCAGGGAATAATCCCAATCTTTTGGTACCATTTGAGGCCTGATTTGTGACCTAGGATGTGATCTAGTCTGGAGAATGTTCCATGGGCACTAGAGAAAAATGTGTATTCTGTTGCTGTGGGATGGAATGTTCTGAATATGTCTGTGAAGTACATTTGGTCCAATGTGTCATTTAAAGTCTTTATTTCCTTGTTGATCTTCTGCTTAGATGATCTGTCCATTTCAGTCAGGAGGGTGTTAAAGTCCCCCACTATTATTGTATTGTTGTCAATGTGTTTCTTTGCTTTTGTTATTAATTGCCTTATATAATTGGCTGCTCCCATGTTCGGGGCATAGATATTTACAATTGTTAGATCTTCTTGTTGGATAGACCCTTTAAGTAAGATATAGTGTCCTTCCTCATCTCTTATTACAGCCTTTGTTTTAAAATCTAATTTGTCTGACATAAGGATTGCCACCCCAGTTTTCTTTTGGTGTCCATTAGCATGGTCAATGGTTTTCCATCCCCTCACTTTCAATCTGGGGGTGTCTTTGGGTCTAAAATGAGTCTCTTGCAGACAGCAGATGGATGTGTCTTGTTTTTTAATCCAATCTGATAGCCTGTGTCTTTTGATTGGGGCATTGAGCCCATTTACATTCAGGGTAACTATTGAAAGGTATGAATTTAGTGCCATTGTATTGCCTATAAGGTGACTGTTACTGTATATTGTCTGCGTTCCTTTCTGGTCTATGTTGCTTTTAGGCTCTCTCTTTGCTTAGAGGACCCCTTTCAATATTTCTTGGAGGGTTGGTTTCGTGTTTGCAAATTCCTTTAGTTTTTGTTTGTCCTGGAAGGTTTTTATCTCTCCTATTTTCAATGACAGCCTAGCTGGATATAGTATTCTTGGCTGCATATTTTTCTCATTTAGTGCTCTGAAGATATCATAGGCAGTCCTTTCTGGCCTGCCAGGTCTCTGTGGATAGGTCTGTTGCCAATCTAATGTTTCTATCATAGTAGGTTACATATCTCTTCTCCCGAGCTGCTTTCAGGATTTTCTCTTTGTC